GTTGGCGTTATGTTTGGCACTAACAGAAAAGGTCACTGGCTTTGGTAGCAAGGAGTGGTGTTAGTTCTTGCTGCCAAGACAAGACAGTTGTAGCTATTGCGTAGTTTTGAAAATTGTGGCTACAACTTTGAATCAGAGGTCAGTTTTTGGTTTCCTGGTGTGAAGAGTTATTGAGCTATGGTTTCGGGTTTTGCAGTCACATCCAAGCATATCCGATAATCAGGATCGTCAGTATTTTTAAAGGCAGAGATTTGTCATACAAGTTGGTGGTAGTGGCATTATATGACCCATTTGATTCAAGTTAAGAAAAAACTTTTGATTTTAATGAATTAGTGGTAGTCTCCAGCACCTTAGCTATTCAAGTATTCAAATTTTCTGTAGTGGAAATTGCCTATAATATCATGCAGTGATGTTTTATGATGTGCACTGGTGTTCTTGGGTGCAATTATTATCAAAATGTGAACAGTTGTTTTTTAAAGAACATTCTAGAGGTTTCTAGACTGTAGAATTACTGCCAGCCTTACAATACCCTGTTCCAAAGTAGGTAGCCACCTCTAGTTTATTAATTTGTTAGTAATTTATAAGTTACAAACATGCTTGTAATTTTTAATCTTGTTTCAGTTCTTTTTTTTTTTTTTTTTTTTTTTTTTAAAGATAGGGTCTTGGTCTGTTGTCCAGGGTGGAGTGCTGTGGCACAATCATAGTTAACTGTAGCCTCAGACTCCTAGGCTTAATCCATTCTCCTGCCTCAGCATCTCAAAGCACGGGGATTATAAGCATGAGCCACCATTCCTGGCTCAGTCCTTCTAAAACAAAATTAAACTTACTTCCTCTTCCATAAACATTAATATTGAAATGTTAGCAATTCAAGATTGGCCAGCTATGGTGCAGATCATCTAGAATTTTGACTGATTTTGGAATTATATTTGACTACTTTTGTGATTAATGGTTATGAATGTCATGTCCAAAAAGATGATGATCTGTGAAGGCCTGGAAATTTAGCCTTTTTTCTCCATGTCATTCTTTCCTAAAGTCATGGAGCTTCACGTTTGTGATTACCTATTATAATAGGAAAAACACTGGTTTTTTCTATTTTCACACAGTCAACACACTTCTGACACCAGATGTTTGAGTTTTTTTCCTATATATGAATTAATCAGTTATCCAATGGCCATGAACTAGGTGTCCTATAATTCAGTAATTATAGGTCTGATACTATATACCTGGATTTAGCATGAGATCCCACAAGTAGAGGGCCCAGTCCCACAAGACTGCCCCCCAACTTCAGAATGGAGCCGTAAACTCCAGGTTGTAATCTGTGCTTTGGACTGACAGGCTAAAAATGGCTAAAAATTGGGATTCCCATGACCTGCTCATTGTGTTCAATTAATTTGCTAGAGCAGCTTACAAAACACAAGCAGACTTTACTTATGTTAACCAGTTTATTAGGATATTACAAAAGATACAGATGAGCAGCCATCTAAAAGAGATACATAGGAAAAGGTACGAGGAAGGGGATGTGGAGCTTCCATGCCCTCTCTGGGCATGCCTGCCTCCAGAGAACTCCATGTATTCAGCAGCCCAGTAGCTCTCTGACCCCGTCCTTTTGGATTTTTATGGAGGCTTCATTACATAGGCATGATTGATTACATCATTGGCCATTGGTGATCAACTCAACCTTTTAGCCCTCTACCTTCCCAGATGTTACGGGGCAGGGTTGGAGAGTGGGGCTGAAAGTTTCAACCCCTTAATCATGCCTTGGTTTTTCTGGTGACCTGCCCCATTGTGAAGCTATTCAGGGGCCCCCAGCCACCAGTCATCTTATTAATACACAAAAGATACTCATCACTGCAGAGATTCCCAGAGTTTCAGGAGCTGTGTGCCAGGAACCAGGGCAAAGACCAAATATGTATTTCTTACTATGGTATCACACTGACATTTTAAAAATCAGATTGAAGTATGCGAAATTCTCTATTTGTCCATATTTCACCTATAAAAATGGCAATTTTGTAAGGTTCAATTCAGCATTTTCTTTACACTTGACCCTTGACAACATAGGCTTGAATTGCATGAGTCTACTTATATGCAGATTTTTTTTCAGGCAAACATGGATCAAAAATATAGTAATCACAGGATGTGAAACCTGCCAGTTCAGAGATACAACTTTTCCATTATGTGAGTTCTGCAGGGCTGACTGCAGGACTCAAGTATGCATAGGCTTTGATATATGAAGACTAATCCCATGTGTATACTGAGGGATGAACTGTGTTTTTATTTGATTCTTTCTGCAAGATAAGGCACTCTTTTGGTTTAGAGAGTCTCCCTTTAGATTCAGGATTCATGAATGGAGGTGAGTGGGAGGGTGAATTTGGAGGAATGAGTACCAAAGTATCAAAAGATTTTAGATCTTTAATTAGCAAATAAAACTTTATAATGAGTTGATAGCCTGCAATGCTAATGATTGCATATGATTAAGATGTTATATCATGTTTCTGTTTATCTTTCTAGGTAAACAGATTTTTTTATCTATATATTATATATAGATAGATCTCATAATTTAGAAATCTTTCTCTTCCAGTTTAAAATTATATTCTGTGAATCATACTGTGCTTCAATAGGGTATAACCATATTAAAAAAAAAAACACTTTTTTTTTTTTTAAGACAAAATGTTCCTTTTGAAGACTATACAAGGCTTCAAAAAAGACTAAAAGATATACAGAGAAGACATAATGAATTTCGAAGTCTAATTTTGGTTCCTAACATGCCTCCAACAGCATCTATCAATCCTGTTAGCTTTCAGTCACCAGCCATGGTTCCAAGCCTGGAACTACCATTTCCTCCTCATATGCAGGTATGAGCATTTATTTTAGGGGGAAAAAAAAAAGTCAGTCATACATTTTTGTAGTCTTTATATTTAAATGTGATGATAAACCTCAAATTATAACTTTGGTCAGTGCTCAAAATTCACCACAAAAATGGCATAAACATCTAAAAACAGTTTTAACTTCTTCCCTTTCATTTTTCATATAAATTTGCTGAATTCTGTTTCAATCATGATCCTTTAGTGATGGTGCTGGGAGTGAAATATCTTACTGGGCAATTGAAAAGAGGAAATTTGATTGAGTCCTTGAGTAACCTAGAGTTTGTAGCTTACTCATAATGTTAATACTAATGACTACTGAGCATTTACTAATGCGGTGTGAACTGTGCATGTTCCATGCAATGTCTAATACTAACGAAAAATGCTTTGAGGGCAGATATTACTATTCCTAATTCATAGATAAGGGAACTAAGAGTGAAGTGACTTGCGTAAGGTCATAGCTAATAAGTGACTAAATTTCAAACCTAAACCCATTGAATCCAAAACCTGGGTTATTTCTATTGTATCAGGCCCCTGAAGAAATCAGATTGTTTGATTTGTTTTCAGAATATGGACTATTAATAAGTAATTATGTTTTATAACATTGTAAGCACAGAAGATTTTAATCACTGAATTGAATCTCAGGCCAAGTACTTTGTTTACAATAAAGTTCTGTTAAACACCAGTGTTGTTGGAAAGTTGTCATGTAAGTATACCTGGGCCCTGCATTAATATTTTCTAATTCACTCCCTGGTGAATTTTACACCTATTGAAGAACAGACTATGGGTTTTGCTTAAGGCTAGAGCCTGAGGCAGGAGGGAAGCAAAATGGGTGGTAGTTTAGCCCATGCTACTTTTTTTTAGGCTGCTACAGTGGTCAGCACTTCCTTGCCAGATACTATAGGCATATGTAAAAGAGGCAGACCAAGGCTGCTGCCTAACAGTTACTTTTATACTAGTTTGTTTAATAGTTTCTTTTGCTATGCTTTCTCTACATCATTTTAAGGAGGAACAACATCAAAGGGAACTCTCTCTACTTCGCAAAAGACTAGAAGAACTGGAAACAACACAAAGAAAACAATTAGAGGAACTTGGATCTTCTGGAGAATGATGTTCTTGCAGAACAGGCAGATCAAAAGAGGTGAAGTTGGTGACTCAGTAAAACTTGACGTTTTAACCTGTGGCATTTAGATACATTTTACTGTTTGCCAAAACACTTGAATGTGCCTCAAGAAAAGGTACCTACTACATGCTGTATTGCATGACTATCATACAGATTTTAGAATTCTACAAGTGAAGCATTAAAAGTCTCAGATATATTTAGAATATTTGACAATGGTTTGAGAATGTAGAACAGTATCATTAATTCCCTCTTCAAAATGCTTGGCAATAACTGGGTCCATACACATCTTCTGGTTTACGATATACAAAAACTGTAGTTGAAAAAAGATGACAATTTAAAAGTCGCATAAAGAATGTAAAGGTATCTATATACATTACAAAAGGCTACCTTTTCTAAAAGCTGTGTGCACATAATTAAAGAGCTTAATATTTTTTAATCTATATATTGTCTTGTGTTTAACTTTACATCAACCATATAGCATATATTTAGCAATATGATGACAGTCTACTGATTTTGGCTTCATTAGAATAGAGAGTAAGTGCAAATAATTAAATCCTATGGCACTATTAACAAGTGGGCCATTGATTGTAAAACTTGAACCCAGGTAGGTGCCTTTATAAGGAATGCTGGAATTTAACTTTACTTCCCCACTGCTGTGGATCTAACCAAATAATTATGTGTTTTATTTGTGTCCCTAAGTATGCCCTTATTTTTTTTTTTTTAACTCTACACCCATTGGAAGCTTTTTAAATGTGACATCTTTTAGGGGAATTCTGCTGGAATAATTCCATGTTAATGAGGCGAAAGCTCAAGTCTCCCAAATTAAGTGGAATGTTCATTATCCAAAAGTCCAGGTTGATAGCACCATTTAGCAAGAAACTAGTTACTTACTACATAATATAGCTGCTTATTCACAGTGTATACAGTGATACCTTGTCTCTGGAAAATAATATCCATGGAGCCACTTATAGTAGATTTTTATTCTAACTAGAAAATTGAAGAAAGACAGTCCACAGTTACATCAAAATGTTTATTTTTTGGATATAGACATTTAAAACATTCATCTCGAAGAACAGCTTCAATCAGGTATACAATAAGAAATAGACTTTAAATCCTAATACAGAAAAGGTAACAGAATTTTTTAAATGCTGCTGTAGACACTAGTGTTTGTTAGAAAAAAAAGTTTATAAATGAATTGTTTTGCACCAAAAAAATATGCAAAGAAACTTGAAAATAGAAATTGTTTGCCATTTGTTGCTCTGGTTGCTGTTTAATATAGACCCAGTGACTGATTGTCTTCAGCACACATCTAATTTGGCCATTTACTGCATTTGGCTAATGTGATCCAAAATGTGATCTAGATAGTGCTTTTCACTGGAGGATTGACAAACACGCTACATACATTAGTGAATCTTCATACCACCTCAGTGAGGTAGTTTAGAAATATTATACAGAAATTGAGGCACAAAGAGGTAAGTGACTTGCCCAAAGTTCCCAACAGCACAGTCCCTGGAAGAGGAGGTAACTCTCCACACAGGACTCATGTGCCAGAAAGCTGGACAGGGACACCCTCATGTAGCATTTAGTAAATACTTAGATAAAGCTGTAGCTGATCCTTTGAGTTTTTAGTACCCTAAAGTAGGGGAAGTCTTTTGGGCAACTCTCCTACTCTTGGCTCTCAACTCTCCTACTTTTGTTCTCTTATGAACTCCTTCGCCTGTTTGAAGCCTGTAGCAGCCTTAGATGGGGACCAGACCTCTCACCTTTATTCTGATATGTAACCTATTTGGTAGTTTTGTTTGAGGTGTGTCCATCGGACAGACAATGGTCAAAAGCAACAGGATCGGGAAGGTGCCTATCAGGGGTAGTAACTAACTGCTTATTTTCCTGATCAGTTTGTAGAGGTGTCACCGCTCTCATGCTTTTCCAGATAATTCAGGAGCAAAAAGGAATTGCATTTATCTAAGACAAATCCATATTTAAATCCTGATGCTCCATAAATTGTTGGTAAATGATTTCAAGGAATATGTGATCAATGTTATTTGACTTGAAAAACTTTCTTTCCTAGAGGGGGAATTTGGAGCACCAAGGGTAAAAGGTGCCTGCCACAAGAAAAGCTCAAGAGTTGCCAATTATGCTGTTTACTTCTTCTGGTTTAATAGAAGGAAAACACAGTGGTATTAAAATTGGTCATGAGCAGCAAAAATTCAGGAATAAAAAATCAGCACTAAAAAGACTACAGTATAACTGGATAGAGAATTCTTTAAAAAAAAAAAAAAAGGCATGAATAAATGGGCATTTTAAATTCTTTCTCCTGTGAGGAATACTTTCAAAAAGTACATAGTAAGACTAAGATACCAAGTTGTATACTAATATTTTTCAGGCCTTGGGCCTCAAATATATATATTTATATATAATACTCCAGTGTGAACAGCAATTTGATGAAATGTAAAATGTATCTTTTTTAAATCACACACAAGTATTTATAACCACAGGGTTCACCAGAAATCTAAAGCAAGGAGACACTCATATAGAAATGGAGTTACTTTTCCACAGATTGTTCTGATCAAAGGTTTTGAAACAATGAATTAATGATTTTTTTGTATAATATCCAACATGTCCACTATCAAATACATTTAGTATGAAAAAAGAGATGAGAAAAAAAGGGAACATACATTAGGACAAAGTATCTGGTTAAAATGCTGTTCATTTAAATAAAGCCCACTCACTCTCCTTACTTTAGAGGTCCTTGGTGAAATGGAGGTGAGTCTGATGGAGTGCAGTTGATGACCACTGAAAAACACGAGCCCTTTCAACAATGTTGCAACACTGTTAGTTTTTGGTTTAAACACACACACACACTCACAAATGCTAAGTGTACACTACCAAATTCTGCGGTCGCCTTTTCCAAGAACTACTGGGGAAAGTTTCAATGCTGCAAATCCTCGAGGTTGCCTTAACACCCCCACCTTGTTTCCAGATGACTCATTTCACATTTTGTTTTGAGCACTGGCAGTATCCCTTTACAGTGCAGAGGTGCAGTGTAGCCCAAGTGCTACATAGCTGGAGTTTTCAAATAAAACCACTTGTATCATTGTGCTTAAGTGGAGACTGTAGTTACAATACTGACCCTTGCTTACTGGCCCTGTATTCTCTGTAAACAAGGAGGCTGTTTGCAACAACCACTTCAACTCTATTTACAGAAGGGTTCCCACAGTATACACACAGGCACAATGGTTGGTATGCTTTCTAAAAGCTGTGCATGTGCCTTGGTCTCTTAAAAAGACAGTGCTCAAAGTGGAACCTATGTGCAAACAAGAAATTAACGACACAGAGTAGCTCAAGCAGCCATTTTGCTCCCAAGTCGTCTGAAGAACTTTGTCAGATTAAGCCAGGGCCCAGAGTGCTTACATCCACTTGCATTTCTTCTTTTCATCAAATAAGACTTTTACATGCAAGAGTTGTTTCTGAGCTTCTTCCAGCCCTCGTTCTCTTTCTAGTTTATTTAGAATCTGTTGACAATTAGAACAGTTATTTTAGATATTGTGGTTTTAGCATTACAATTATGTTTTTTGCATACCTGATGCTATGAGTGGTAAAATCTGTATGAAACAGATGCCAACATTTTCTTCCATCATTTACGTACTCACTTTGCAAGTTGTTTTGCTAAGTCATTGTCACAGGATCAACAATACCTTGGCTTAAAATAGAAGCTCGCAAGAAATACCAACTATTTGCTTACAAATATGGGGCCAGGCTTCCAAGGCCCTGCTTTATGCATTATGTCACAGCCATTCCAAGCACAGCAAGCATTCCTGGGCAGCCAACATGCAGGCAAGTATTTCTCCTTAAATGCAGCAGGCAGGGACATCCTGGTCAGAGACAGATCCTTCCCTTCCCTCCCATCTGGGCAGTGTAGTCCCTCCTCTTCCCTCCCTTCCCCAGTGCTTCCCTTCTCTCCCCTGACCCCTGGAAAGAGGGATGCTTATCATGTTTAAGGAACTCATTGCCTCTACCCTACCTTAGCGCTTCACTTGATCTTCAAGTAGCAAATGGAATTGGTGAGCTATTCTCACCATTGACATGGATAGCCTGTCCCAGCATGACTGATTGGGGGGGAATCAGGGAAGGGGGAGTTAACATATGTTTGGAAACAAAGCATCTGATGAATGTGTCTGTGTGAATTTCCAAAGAAAAAAACCCAGATTAAGGAGAATTAATCATAAAGGAGAATGGTTTATTGAAATAGTTCCTTAAGTTAGAAATATGTCGTAATTTCATATAACTACTGAATACAGAATCTAGGAGATTTAACAAGCTTAGCTTTCATTTTTAGCAGATTACAATCAAGCATAAGCTGACCCCATTTAATAGGGCCACTACTTACTCATCAGTGTTAACTTCAGTCAGTGTGGCTATAGGCCCCATGAACTCAAAGGTAAATTTAGGCTGGTCCAAATGTGGGCAGCATGATAAAACTAAGAGGGGCAGCCATGTGTAGGGTCTGGCTCAGTGCCAGGATCCCCCATCTCAGACAGGCTTCCTGGCATCCCTTTCTGGCCTTTTGGGATGCCAGAGCTGTTCTGAAACTGAAAGAATGCTATAACCACATCCTGGTGCCTGACTCATAGGTTTATAACAATGTTATTTAAAATCTTACCTCATCAAAATATTTTACGATGTATTTGTAAATTTCTGTCAAGGCCACTTCTTCATTAAATTCATTTTCGTGTTTCTAAAAAAAAAAAAAAAAAAAAAAACTTGAAAAATTCTGAAATGACTTAAACCAAATACAAGCTTTTTTTCCCGCTTTCTAACAATACCTTAGATTCCTGAGTTAAAAATTCTTCCATTTCTGAGGATGACAATGGAGGCAAATCCCTGATTGCTTTGTAATAAGATTTTACTTCTTCTTTGTAGGTTGGGATATCCTTGGCATAGAGAAGCTTATTAGTTGGTGCTTCCTGAAAAAAAAAAAGAGGTGGGGGACAAATTTATAATACACCAATGTAGCTGAACCCACACCACCAGTTTTACCTCTTGATAACAAGGCTTCATGCAGTAGGCCTTCAGTGTTGTTGACTGAATGACTGACTGCTATCTAGATAGTTCTGGTGAGTCACTGTTATTTTCAGGCAGATTAAATGCTAATATATTCTGCCTTCCTCTCATAAAAGAACCAAAATTATTATTTTTGCATGATTTTGAGTTACTGTAACAATAGAACTTATTTCAATCACAGTTCATTACTAATGGTTGTAAAAAGCCTGAATTAAAACATTTGCTCTCATCCTCACCCACCAGTGAATTTGGCATTTATAAAAGACTTGATTGTAGGTCTGATTGAGCCTTTTATATAACCATGAAACTGGTAAGTAATTGGCAGTAGCAGATTTTGTAGCTTGTCCCTTTTATTTCACATTATAAAGATCTTCCAGTTTCTTTAAGGAAGCACATGGTCATTAGTATTAGTGGCTCTGATATGTGATTTTGCAGTTTCCCTGGCAGTTTGAATGTTTCTATGTAATAATAATGGTATTTAAAAATTAAATATGACTTTATTTTAAAAAGTCATTATTTTTCACAAAAGTTTAAAAAATTCTACTCAGGGAAGATAGGTAAGTTAATGATAGGGCTGATGTCCCAGTACATTTTAAAGAGCCCATGAGGCTGAATCAATGGCTTGATGAACCATTCTGAAGGATGCCTAGAGATGGAGATAGTATAGAGGTTTTCTTGTGTCAAATTTAAATGGAACCCAGAAATCATGCTATCACTCATCCATTCAGTAAACACTATTAAGCACTGGGGTGGGCATTGGGTGTACAGTGATAAAGACCAGTGGCTGCCCTTGAGAAGCTTACAATTTAGTTGCACAATCAGGTTTACAAAGTGCTTACTATGATACAAATAATTAGCAGCAGGAGTTGACAAAAAGAGACAGAAAATTTCTGACAATTCTGCTACTTTTTGTGGTCCCAGGCAAGATGTGTAACCTCCCAGAACATCAATTTTCACATTTATAAAATAAGGGTAATAATAACTACCTTATTCCGTACTTGTGAGGATTAAGTGAAATGTTAAGAACATAATTCATAAGCACCTGTTTTTAGTGTGAATAAACATTTAAGTGCCTTTCAGTGTGCTGCATGTTAAAATGAACTGTATTAGTCAAATGAAGAAAGTGCTATAGGAAATACACTGGGGAAAGTTCACAAAGTAGGTGTATTTAGACCGATCTGAGTCTTTTACAGTTTCTGGTCCTCATTAGGAAATCATGTTTGTTGAATAAATGTTTATGATGAATGAATGAGTTGGATTTTACTAGACAGAGGGATTGTGAGACAGGAAAGACGAGCAAAGGGATGTGAGAACAAGTTCATGGTGTGAACTGGGGAAAAGTAAAAGCCATAGCACAGTGGTGGGTGTGTGGAGTGTGGAAGACAGTATTGAGGCTAGCAAAGAGGCCTGAAGCCCATCAGGAGGCACTGTGGGGCACTGTGAAGACTTTAGCTGGTAGGTAATGGGAAATATTTCCTTTTTTTTTTTCTCTGAGACAGTCTAACTCTGTTGCCAGGCTGGAGTGCAGTGGCACAATCTCGACTCACTGCAACCTCTGCCTCCTGGGTTCAAGCAATTCTTCTGCCTCAGCCTCCCAAGTAGCTGAGACTACAGGTGCCTGCCACCACGCCTGGCTAATTTTGGTATTTTTAGTAGAGATGGGGTTTCATCATGTTGGGCAGGATGATCTTGATCTCTTGACCTTGTGATCCACCTGCCTTGGCCTCCCAAGGCTGGGATTATGGGAGTGAGCCATCGCACCTGGCCATATTTGCAATTTTTAAGAACCAGACTGACATCAGATATATGTTTTAGGAAGATTACCTGAGAGACAGTGAAAAGGAAAAGTTTAGGGACAGGCGGACAGCAGGGGGCAGGGACACCGATCAGGAAGCATTTATCCTAGTAGGGACAGGATGAAGTAATAAGGCTGAAGGAGGAGGGAGGGACAGACATTTGAGACAGAAGTGAATGGTAACCAATAGTTGGGGATAGAGGTTGGAAGGAGGAGGAGTCAGAGATAATGTTGAGGATTCTACCTTGAGAGACTAGGCAAGACAAAAGTAAACGGTTTGTTTTGCAGAAATATTGGTGATAAAGAGTTTAGATTACGACTGGGAGTCTGAGGCACCTACGGAACATCAGTTTCCATTCATACCAGGTACTCTTAAAGCCCTACCAAAGAGCTCCTCCTCAGTGTTCAGAGATCCAGTAGGCACAGATATTGCTCAGTTTAGTATATTTTGGAGCACTCAAATTTAAGACCAAAACATTTCTTTCAAAGTTTGCTCTGTATTATCTTTCTTTGCATTCTTGGGGCTTTTGATCAGCAAAGAAAACCATAGGAAGACAGTACTCATGCTTTGATTATAAACTGACAAACTGGTATTGTTAGAAATCTCAGGCAGGATTTTCTATCCCATAAGCAACGTGTTACATTCAAATAGTCATTTTATGTATATTCAGATGGAATTGATTTAGGCAAATTTCAATAGTTTCATATTTTGGGTTAATTATCAGTATCTATAGAATGTGTTTCTAGGAAACAAAATGCATACTTTGTGGTAAAGTTTTTCACAGGCAGAATTCTGCAGTCTGGTGGGGCTAATTATTTTGGTTTTCACTTTTTAAAAATTAGACTAGAAATAATTAGATTTTTAAAGAACAGCAAATTTACAGTGGCCCTTACTATTTCTCTTTAACTGGTGTAGTTTAGACCAATTGTTTATTATTTGAGTGCTTATCAGGAAGACAAGTGCATCAAACTCGTAAGACTACATACAAGAAATACTCAAGCTGGGCCTTACCTTCCCTAGTTGCTGTTCTGTGAGAGAAAATGCATCCATGAATGCCTGGGCAATCACTGACAAACAGCCATCTATGTGTGGCGTCTTCTTAATGTCAAAGACAAACTGAGGGTTCTTCAGGATGTTTACCCAGAAGCGAAGAGGAAGGCTGTTCAGAGAGAGAATAATCCTCTTGTCAAATAGGGCCATTCATGAAGCCAATAGCCTGTTTATCACAGTTTGTAAACAGGTGTTTTCATCCTTATTACTGAAGTATACAACTCTGCTTAGCCAAACATACCAAGCAACAGACAGAAGAATCACTCTGAGAGAACAAGAAAGGGTTAACTGACAGAGCTACTGAAAAGGATAGAGGAGGGTAAGTTTGAAAGTGGCCATGGACAAGAATTTTCTCTAGATAGCTCTTGAATGAGTGTGTGTGTGTGTATTCTCTCTCTCTCTCCTGGATTATTTCCCATTTCCTGATAGTAGTTTGTTCATTAGCTGTCCTCTCAACACACAATTAGACCATGTCTCTTCTCTGCTCCAACCTTCTGAGGCTCTCCATCTCCCTCTGGATAACACCCTGCATGACCTGGCCCTCTGCCCTCCTATCCCACCGCTCCTCCCCACACTCATTCCAACTCCACTGTACTCCTTGCTGTTCTTCACATGTGCCAAGCAAGCACATCTTACAACTTGTGCTCTTGGCGTCTGCCTGAAACTTTTTTGCCTCTGCTAGTCTCATCGTTTATGTCCTCTCCTCTTTCAATACTTGGCTCAAGTGTCACCATCTCTGTGAGGCCTTCTCTGATCACCCAGTCCTGACACATACTAACTAGCCTCCTTTCTTACTTTCTCCACTGCACTTATCATATGCTACTGTACTACTGTTTACATATTGCATTTAGTGTCTGTCTTCATTTAGTAGAGTGGGACATGGACTTCCATCTGTTTTGCTACTATTATCTCCAGTACCTAACTCCTTGGCCCATCGTAGGTATTCAAATAAATACCTGAACATGAACTTGGGACTGGTTCAAAGTCCTTCCATTATCTCCTTTTCAACTCTGACCTAGCTCATTACCTCCACCATATGCTGCTGGGTCTCCCATCAGCTTTACTGTCCTGGCTGCTGCCCCTGCTCAGATGCCACAATCTTCAAGGTGCAATGGTGGCCCTCAGCTCCCAGGCTTGATATGGGAGTGGCTGGGAGTGGCAGGGACTGGAGATAAGAGGCTAGAACAGGCCAGGGACAGTGGCTCACACCTGTAATCTCAACACTTTTGGAGGCTGGAGGATGGCTTGAGACCAACCTGGGCAATGTAGTGAGACTTCATCTCACAAAAAGTTTTAAAAATTAGCTGGATGCGGTGGCATGCTCCTGTAATTCCAGCTACTTGGGAAGCTGTAGTGGGAGAATTGCTTGAGCCCAGTAGGCAGAGGTTGCAGTGTGCCGAGATTCTACCACTGCACTCCAGCCTGGGCAACAAGAGTAAGACCCTGTCTCAAAACAAGAAGCTAGAACATGGGAAGAGAAGAGAGTAAGCCAGCGTAGAGATTTGGGATAGATCTGGATTAAATAGGAGATTAGACCTAGAGCTCTGGAACTTCAGCTTTTGATACTTATTTAAAGTGACCTAGCTGTCCTCAGTGCCTGGAAAGCCTTGAGCTTTCACTGAAAAGTTCTACTTCATGATAACTCTGAGTCTTATACTCTGAGTCTTATCCAGCTCTTGCAGCATTTCAAAGAGAAATCATGAACTACATTTCTTTACTGAGGAGGGATTCAGAACAAATATGGATGCCTTGCCTGTGCTTATGGTAAAATAGTCAAATATAAAACCATTGGCTAATTCTCATTGTATCTGAGTACTGCACTTGATAAGTTTCTGTACAGCATCAGAGTATGGACAGATAGCTTGGAGACTGCAAAGTAATTGATTAGGAACAAAAAATGATTTATAACATTTTCTCTAATGCAAAAATGATATAAAACCACAAATATTAATTTCTCATTCTTTGCTAGTCAACTTAAATTTGTTTGGCAAAGTCTTTATCATGCACCAAAGATAACAGAGTTCCTATTCAAGAATAGGATTCTTGGCATGTGAGTGGTTTCCTTTATTGTTTAAAATAATAACAGAATAAGAAAATACTTTGACATGATAGCTTACCAAGCCCAAAGATTCTGATATACGGATAAATGAATCCTCCTGTAACTATCTCTTTCTTTTAGTTAATGTTCTGTTCCAGATTCTTGAAAACAGTAATCACCTACATTCCCACCTGTTTGTTTTCCAAATATGTACGACATCAGGATCTGTGATTTTTTTGTTTTCAGCCTGGGCATCCAAGAAGTCAAAAAAGTATTTTATAGCAAATGGGGCTCTGCTGTTGGGTAAACTCCAGATGCTTCTGAAAAGTTTTTCAAGCACAGAGTGAATTGCCACCTGAAAGACAGACAACATCAGATTTGGGAGATTAAAAATTATGGCAGTGGTTTTGAAAACATAATTGCAAAAGCAAATCCAAGTTCAGAGAAAATAATGTGCAAAACAGAAAAACAAGTTGAAGAGAAAAATACAAAATTGTCAAATCAGGCCAGTGCTCACAATATGAACAAAAGTCCTGAAAATCCATGCCCAGGTTTAGATTTGGTTCATAGGCTGCTTTCTGATAACAACATTGTTTAGTCAACTGGGAGGATATCTCAGAAATCTCCAGCAGTTGAAATGTCAGTTGTAGGGCTGTGTACATAAACCAGGAAGCCACGGATGTTTGGCTTTTATTAGTTATGTTCAGCCTGGAAAAGCTCAAGTGATGCCGCTGTGTTCCCAGAATTTTTCCTGTTGCATATATTTCTATCATAAGGTTTTAGTGTGTACTTTCCAAAGCATTTGAGTATTTTACAGAAGCCAAATAGGCTGAGCTCTGTGGGACAGCTGAGAAAATCAAAAGGCCTGGGCTGTCCTCTGCCCACTAAACAAATCTCCTAAATTCTAAGCAGATTCTTTGTTATAATCTGAAGAAGCATGCCCATCAAGTTACTGGGGCCAAGTGTAGATAATAGCACTTACAGTACTCATCATTCCAGATGGGGAGGAAAAAAAAAAAATCACCACAGACTTCTGTTAATTCCACTAAAAGCCAGATAAAGTAAAATTTGCTCCCAATTTTGTATTCCACTGGCTTTCACATCTGACACTTTTATGTGTGAGCAGAATTCTTAATTTTAAAGTAAAAAACAAAAATTAGTAAGATTTGCTAGGTTTATAGTCACTGACCTTTCCCATCCCCTTCATTTTATTTGTGATTCAAAAATGGAGTTTTATTGCTCATCTATAATAAGTAAACAAAAAAATAATTATGCTGTCAACCTAAAAAATAACAATAATAGTGAAATGGTGGGGAAAGAGACTGGGAACAATATTAAATCCCTGTGAAGTTACTACAGTACTAATTTGTAAAGTGCTGTTATCTTTGCAGTGTATAAAAAGAAGAATGGGGTAGGAAGTGTTTACAATTTAAACTTTCATTTTGCTTTGCTAGAAGGCACAAGGGATTTGTAACATTTTCACACTTCAGTGGAAATTAAGTCAAACACATCATACACCCCCTAGGTAGCCATAAAAGTGCTCCCAGAACAGTAAGCGTACCTTGGTAGACAGCAGCTTTGTCAGATACATTTCTTTTACTTTGAACTTGTGCTTCCCTCGATGTCTCTTTCCTTGCACATCTTGGAATGCTTCCGAATCTGGTAAAATCTGAAGGGAAGACAGCAGAAGCGTTACCCAAGGAAACCATTCATGCTACAGAAGGCATGCAATTCAGCAGTGAGCACAAGGAAGGCTGAACTCACCAAATGGCAGTGGTCGTCTGAGTATTCCACATCTGAACATGAGAAAGAGGGAGAGAAAGCAGTCCGTTAAAAAAAAGCAACCACAGGCTAATTGGCTTTCTCATAAAAAGCCCCATTTGTGCTATATACCGAGGTGACTTGAGCTTTGACTTGAGGTCTTCATAGCTACATTTTCCCTGCTACTGCATCTTAAGATCTTAAGAACAGGGTGAAGACAGGATGGGCTAGGGATTGGAGGGGGAAATAGATTCCCTAGTGATCACTGATCTCTTGGTGGTAGGAAAGGCTCAAGCTTCATTCATTTAACAAATGTATCTGGAGCACCTCCTGTGTGCCAGGGACTACTGGGCATATAGTAATGAATAAGCCCTAGTTCCCACCCTGATGGAATTTCCATTCTGGCCATCAAACTTCTAGGTACACCATTATTATAAATGTAATAAAGGTTACAAAGGAGAATTATATGCTAAGAAATTATCTAACGAGATCAAGCCTAGTCCAGGAGTTTTTGAGGAAGGGATGTTTGAGTTGAATCTAATGAAGAAATAGAGTCAGCCAGGCAAACTGCAGGAAGGCCCAAAGGTAGAAAGGAACTGACCCCTTTGTAGGATCTCAAAGAACAATGATGTGGTGCTCAAAGAGCAAGCCGAGACTAGCGCAGAGTGAGGAAATGTGGCTGTAAAGGGTAAGGGAGTAGTAAATGGAGGGAAGAGAGGAAGTAAGGCATTTGGTTTGTTTTGAAGTTGAGAGGTTCCATGGCTCACATCTGTAATCCTAGCACTTTGGGAAGCCAGGGCAGGAGGACTGCTTGAGCTCAGGATTTCAAGACCAGTCTGGGCAATATAGTGAGACCTCATTTCTACAAAAAAAAAAATTTAAATATTATCTGAGCATGGTGACACACTCCTGTAATCCCAGCTACTTAGGAGGCTGAGGTGAGAGGATCATTTGAGCCCAGGAGGTTGAGGCTGCAGTAAGCCATGATTATACCACTGTACTCCAGCCTGGTGACAGCAAGACCCTGTCTTAAAGATGAGAGAGACTAGCACATCTTGAAATGCTACTGGAAAATGCAGTAGATGGGGGTGGGGTGGGGGTGAAGAAAGTACAGGTGGGAAAAGAGGTTACTGCTGGTATAAGGATACCAAGAAGGCTGGAAAGGATGGTGGCACCCAAAGCACAGGTGAGAATGGCCTTGAACGGAGGAAGGTTGCCTTGAATGGAGGAAGGTCAGCCCACAAGCATCAAGTAAGGAAGAGGGCATGTGTAGGTAGGTTGGTAGGTTTGGTATTGGCTGTTGAGGGAGTTCTGATTTGTTTTCTCTGTAAAGTGCAGGGTGTAGTTATCTGCTGAGTGGAGAGCTGTGTGTGTCAGAGCTTTGAGAAGAGAAGTTATACATTATGGATGACACAGAGTTAAGTTTCCCAGAGAAACCCAGTGAGAGCAGGCTGTGTTGAGGGCCCTGGTCAAGTTGGGTACCGTGAACTTATAGTGACCCCCATTGTGCCACTGTGTGCCTTTCTTCTGTGGCTCCCTAGCTGTAGGATCAGGAAAGGACAACTGCTGGGTTCATCCGGGGTTGGAATTTTGACAGGGGGGCTGATGATAGGACAGAGGTACAGGAGGTTTGGAGCATTAGCAGGATGATAAGATGGTGGCTCTCAGTTGCAGTGGATAGGAATTAGCAGCAGTGCTGACTGACTGGAGGACCCGTGAAGAGACCCAAACCTAAACTTCTACTATTTGTTAGATACAATGATTTCTATTTCTTTCTCTTCAAAGAATCAGTATGTCAGTATGTTCAGTTCTTTGTCCTCCATTTTAAAGTTTAACTTCCTTGTAATTACAGTGAACAACTTTTCTACCAGTTCTAATCAGTAGTTCACATCTGTTCCCCTGGTCATCTGCTCTGTCCTGACTCAACTCACTCACCTGCTTTGACCTGCGTCACCCCTGGTCACCTGCTCTGACCTGAGTCACCTTTAGTTACCTGCTCTATAATCGTTTTTCCTGCCACATCACTCACCCCACCACTCTGGCTTATACCCCTGCTCTCTTTAAAATAGCCAATCAGAATTAGCTTAGACTGTGCAGTTCAACACTAGCCAGTAGGGGAGCAACACAGCAGTGGGGACTACCTGCATTAGGGATAAGAACTCCTTCCCCTCCCCTGTTCAGGTGAGCCCTCACCATTGCTCCATCTGTGAGATGCACCCTTCTATAGAAGTAAATTGCCTTGCTGAGAAAATTTATATTCAAGTGCTACTTCTTTTGCAGCACCAAAAATTTACATATAACATATTCGACCCCCTGAATAACAGGCTTTTCAAAAGGCCCAATCTTTCAAGCCTGAAAAGCACAGCGCTTCCATTTTTCAACACAAAGACACCATCCTCCTTAAGCTGGAATGATAGCAACTCTCTACAAGATGGGTCCTCAACAGCCCCATGTAGTGCTGGAAGGTGGGTTTTCCCAAAGGAGTCCTACCCAATTATCCTGTCTGTATAACCTGGAGCTCCACATTTCCTGTTTACACTGACCAGATGCTCCCTGCTCTTTCTAATAATGAATCCAGGAATCAGAAAGCCCTATCTCTGGCTGTGTGTGTAAAAGGAGCTTGTCTGGGAGAGTCTGAGAACCTTTCCAAGGGCTGAGAACTGTTTGTCTCAACTGGGGTATAATTTCTCTGGGGACAAACCTAGAACAGGAATTTCCTGCCTCAAGGCTATCAGGGAAGCAGATCACTTTAGAGACCAGCCTATCAACTTTCCCATAAAAGCTCCCCCTTTAGTTTGTCTCTCTCCAGTGTCTGGGAACTTCACAACTGCTATCACAGGAGACTTGGACTTTCTAAGTGGATTATCTTGTTTGCTTAGTGCTTGCAGGGGGCTGGGTGATTATCTGCACTCTTCCCTCAGTTTGCCAAGGGGATCTCCTCTGTTAGCCCCCATCCTTCTAAAGGGTTGGAAAAAAGCTATGAGAGTCTGCCCTGAACTTAACTTCCTCAGTGCTGGGCAGTCCAGGCCAACCACCATTTAGTTTTCCTTCTTGCAGGGATCACATTCTTAGAACTGAAAAGAGATCGAAATGGCTCTTCTCAGCTTTCAGAGAATTGCGTAGCAACAACTCAATCTCACCTTTGTGACAATACAGCTGAGAGAGGCAAAAAGCAATACTTTATGAAGCTGGGTAAGAACAAAAGGTTAACAATATTATATTTGTTACCTGAAGTAAAATTTGCTATCTTCTTAAAGACTTTTATAGTGGATCCATTTGATATCTGAAACCAAAGATAAAAGATATATGAGTTTTCAAAATTTAATGCATTTCTCAACTTCACCCAGGAATTAGATGGCTGGATGGATCTTTCATGCTCTTACTTATTAAATCAAATATTTATCAAGAATTACTATGTTCTGGGCACTGTGTTGGAGGCTGGGAGTAAATGACAAGCAAGACAATGTCTCTGTCCTCAAGGGGCTCATGACCCGTGAGGAGGCTGATGAAGCAATGGGAGGCAGTGGGGTAATACGCAGAAGGTGGCGGCCAGGACTCTGTGGGACAGATGGGAGGTAGGCCAACCCCAGAAGAGGGGAAGACTGAGCTGTGTTAGGACATTCCCCTGACTCACAGAGGTCAGAAAATACCTAAGCCAGTTTCATTTTATGAGGTTAAAAAATTGTTACTTGTTACGGACTGAATGTTTGTGTTCCTTCCAGATGCCTACGTTGAAATCCTAATCTCAGTGTGATGGTGGTAGGAGGTAGGGCATTTGGGAGGTGACTATGTCATCAGGGTGGAGACCTCATGATGGGAACAGTGCCCTTATAAGAAACGACACCAGGCCCAGTGTGTTGCCTCACTCCTGTGATTCCAGCACTTTGGGAGGAAGAAGCAGGAGGATCACTTGAGTCCAGGAGTTTTGAGACCACCCTGGGCAACAGAGATCCTGCTGTACAAAAACTTTAAAAATTAGTTGGGTGCATTTGTGCACACCTGTAATTCCAGCCACCTGGGAGGCTGAGATGGGAGGATCACCTGAGCCCAGAAGTTCAGGGCTGCAATGAGCCATGACTGTGTCACTCTACTCCAGCCTGGGTGACACAGTGAAACATCGCTAAACAAAGGAGGAAAAGGAAGAGACAGCAGAGCTTGCTGGTCCTCTCTGCTTTCCACCATACGAAGACACAAGATGGCTGTCCACAAACCAGCAGGAAAGTCTTCACCAGACACCTAGCTACTAGTACTTTGTCCTGACCATGGACTTCCGGCCTTTGGAACTGAGAAATGTATGTTGTTTAAGCCACCCAGTCAGCGGTATTGTGTCATGGCAGCCCTAACTGACTATGACACTACTCGACTAAGAAATGCTGAAATGCATTTTCAGAAACGGGTATATAAAACTGGTGTCTACCCTATGACAGAGCCATTTCACAGATAGGTTCTTAGTCCACAGGAATAAGTATAAATGTATGAATCCAGATATGGAGCTATTTGTAATTGTCCCATACTGGAAACAACTCAAACATCTATCATGAGAATGAATAATTTGGGGTATGTTCATACAACAGATTATAAAACAATGAAAATGAGCAAACTACTGTTACATACCACATTGGTGAATCCTACAATCAATGTTGAGCAGAAGCAGCTCGACAGAAAAGAACATATACTGACTAATTCCATTTAGGTAGAGGTAGAAAAACCCAAACAGTCAAAACTGTCATGTTAGATATTTGGTGAAGAGAGCAGCGGTAGTGATTAGGAAGGGCCAGGAGAGGTCTTCTATTTTTTGACATGGGTGGTAGTTTCAGGATACGCTCACTTGGTGCTAATTCATCCAGCAGTACTTGTAATTTAGTTTCTTTTCTGTGGGTATATACAAATTGAGCATCCCTAATCCAAAAATTCAAAGTGCTCCAAAATCTGAAACTTTTTTGAGCCCTCACAAGGTGCCACAAGTGGAAGATTCCATACCTGATCTCGTGATAACATGTCACAGTCAAAACCCACTAAAAACTTTGATTCGTGCACAAAATTAATTACATAAAATCCCCTTCAGGCTATGCGTATAAGGTGTATATGAAACAAATTCTGTGTTTAGCCGGACGTGGTGGCTCACGCCTGTAATACAAGCACTTGAGGCCAAAGTGGGCGGATCACCTGAGGTCTGGAGTTCAAGACCAGCCTGACCAACATGATGAAACCCCGTCTTAAAAAAAAAAAAAAAAAAAAATCTGTGTTTAAACCTGAGTCTTGTTGCCAAAATATTTCATTATGTATATGCAAATATTCTAAAATCCAAAGAAAGTCCAAAATCTGGAATACTTTTGGTTCTAAGCATTTTGGATAAGGGCTATTCAATCTGTGACATTTTTTCAAAAGCTTGTAAAATCAAATTTTGTATATACTTTTTAATAAAACCTTTGAAATTTAGGCATAACATGTAGGACATGCTTAACTTTTAATATTTTATTAATATAATAAATATATACTGACATAGCCACCACCTAAATCAAGATATAAAATATTGCAAGGTCCTGAAACGTACTTCCATTATCCCTTTTGAGACAATGACCACCCCATCTTCACTCAGAGTTACTCACTCTACCATCTTCCATCACCATTTATGAATTTTGCCTGCTCTTGGATTTCATATAAATAGAATCATCCAGTCTGTACTTTGTGTCTAGATTTTTAAGGTCAATATAAGGTCTGTGACATTTATTCCTGTTGCAACTGCAAGTTCTTCATTCTTATTACTATGTATTTTAGTATGAACATACAACAAAAAATTGCATACAATAAAAAGAATGAATTACCTGTACATACTACAGTGTGGACGAACTTCAAAAACATTATGCTAAGTGAAAGAAGCCAGTCATGAAAGACCACATATTGTATGGTCCCATTTATATGAAATGTCTAAAAGATGGGAGCAATAGACACTGGGGACTCCAAAAGTGGGAAAGGAGAGCAGGAGGGAAGGAAGCAAGGGCTGAAAAACTTCCTATTGGGTATTATGTTCATTGTCTGGGTGATGGGATCAATAGAAGCCCAAACCTCAGCATCGTGCAACATACCCTTGTAGCAAACCTGCACACATACCCAAGAATTAAAAGTAACAACAAACAAGAATATATGTAATGTCCAAAATGGGCAAATTGATATAGACATATTGTAGATTACCAGTTGGCTAAAGCAGGGTTAGGGGAAATAAAGAGTGACTGCTAATGAGGTCAAGGTTTCTGCAGGAGGGATGAAAATGTTCTAAAATTAGATCATGGCAATGGTTGCTTGATTCTGTAAGTATACCTAAAACCATTGCATTGTATACTTTAAACAAGTGAGCTTTATAGTAATATAAATTATATTTTGGCTGGGCATAGTGGCTCATGACTGTAATCCCTGCTCTTTGGGAGGCTAAGGAGTAGGACTGCTTGAGCCTAGGAGTTGGTGACCAGCCTGGGCAACACAGTGAGATCCCCATCTCTGCCAAACAAAGAATCGAACGTTGAGCATGGTGGCCACCACTACAGAGTCCCAGTTAAGGCAGGAGGATGGCTTGAGCCTGGAGGGTCAAAGCTGCAGTGAGCCATGATCGTGCCACTGCACTCCAGCCTGGGCAACAGAGCAAGACCCTGCCTCAAAAATTATGTTTCACCGGGCGCAGTGGCTCAAGCCTGTAATCCCAGCACTTTGGGAGGCCGAGGCGGGTGGATCACGAGGTCAAGAGATCGAGACCATCCTGGTCAACAAGGTGAAACCCCGTCTCTACTAAAAATACAAAAAATTAGCTGGACATGGTGGCGCGTGCCTGTAATCCCAGCTACTCAGGAGGCTGAGGCAGGAGAATTGCCTGAACCCAGGAGGCAGAGGTTGCGGTGAGCCGAGATTACGCCATGGCACTCCAGCCTGGGTAACAAGAGCAAAACTTCGTCTCAAAAAAAAGAAGAAGAAAAAAAATATGTTTCGACAGAGCTGATAAGAATTGCCACAGATTTTAAATGTATACGTTTGACAAAGGCCTCTTTATATATCACCTCTTTTGGAGTTAAAGTCAAGCATTCTCACCTTTTGGGACCGTGTAGACCAGGGTCAATCGGTCCTACAGTGCCCCTCCCCCACACCCTGTTGGGCACTCTCAAATCCCCAGGTGAGGAAGTACCCTTCAGGCAGAGTGGGATAAAGATGCCAAGATGCTGGGGACAGGCCTGGCTCCCTGAGAGAAGGGGCTCGCTCATTCACAAGATTATAAGACGGGGTGGCAAGGAGGCAGGTCAGAGATCACAAAATCCTCTTCATTCTGGGACTGTTTCTGGAGGACTGACCCTGTCACTTCTGAACCTTATCAGCTAAGTGACTTTTCCCTCCCCTCCAAAGCTGTTCTTGATTCTAATAAATACTAATTTCAACGTGGCCTTCCCAGTTTGTAAAGTGTAGAAACCTAGAATTTCTCTTCTGGCCTGCTGCACATTAGTTATCAGAATGTACAAGCCTGCCTAGCAAGCACCAAAGGATTAAAACCTAATCTCCCTTCAGGTTACACCCACAGGGAGGACTGCAGAGCAAGAGCCAGCCCTCAAGAGGCCCTCAAACACAGCTGTCCGGCCAGCTGCCAAGGTTAGGCCAGAGGCCTCTCAACTGCTGGTGTGCATGCTATCTTGGTGGTGGGGTTGGGGGAAGCACTGGGCAGGGGCTGGCTGGGGCCATCAGGCCTCTGGAAAGTGTCTCCAGCAGGGATTCTTAACTCTTACTGAGCTCTTCAACTCTGCTCTTATTGCCGAACATCCTCTCCTTTTTCCCCTTGAGCTATTCATTGTTTGCTGGCTGATTTTTCAATTCTCCTCCATATTTGATGCAATTAAAGTAAATGCTCTGCGCAGGCACCCCCTTAGCAATACTCAGACACCAGTTTATGAGAAGCTTTGAACATAGTTACAGAATTCCTCCCCACGAAGAACTGGATATGCTCTGTTTCTAAGCCAATAAATATCTTTTTATAAAAGGAAGCTGGTGATTCATTCTGGGTAATTGTCAAAGAATGAATCCCAAATGTCTCCCATTGAGTGTTGAGCCAATACTTCACTACTGTCAGACGCTTTTGTTTTGCCAAAAGCGAGCACCCTTACTCTATAATCACAAACACCGCGGATGGGCCTTCTGATAAGGAGTGCTGCCAAAAGTTCAAATGTCTCTTCAAGAGCTGGCAACAGCTCGCTGCTGGTGCTGTGCTCAAGCATTAAGATAGCATAGACGCAGCTCGTACCAAGGAAATTT